GGAATAAAATATTCAAATTCAGACTCCCACACAATGTAGATGTATGCAAAAAAATAAGTTATTCTATCAATATCTAAAAATTAAGGCTTATTTTACATGAAAACACTGCCATTTTCTTAGTAAAATGTCTTAGAGGACACATTCTGAAATGCAGCTATGCAATGTTAATATTTCAACATGTGTATAATACATCTCTTTATGGGGAGCTGTTGAAAAAGTAAGATCCTTAAAAATGTGCTTGTGCAGAAAAAGAAAAATAAGTTTTAAACACTTTTTTGCATTGTCTATTTTATTTGCTGCTTGAAGTTCAAAAAAAACCCTTAAATTCCTTTTGTATTTTGATTTTCCCACTGATTCTTCTTGCCTGAAGACACACACCTTTTCCTCTGAGCTCAATAAGAGGGCCAGCTTGTTACTTAATCCTTAAATCATCAGCCATCATTCTCAGATTCTCACAAACTGAGGACTAAAGGTAATCTCCCCAACACAGACTCATACACAGGCAAAAATATCTGTTTTTCAGACATCAGTAATAATCATGCAGATAATTACAGTTTTTTGCATGCTGATAGACAGAGAATTTCAGAGTAACTAAAAGGATGCAACAAACTTTGTGATAGTTTTTTTCTTTTGGTTTGGTTTGGGGGTTTGTTGGTTGGTTGGTTGGTTTGTTTGTTATCTTATTTTACTAATACTACATTTTACATGGTCATTGATTTGGACAATCAGTTCATAATACTGCATCTGAACAGAAAAAGGTTTGTGTATCTTTCTTTCTGAAATTTCTGATAATTTAATTTTCCTTGGATATTGTTTTATTATCACAGAAAGAGGAATTTTATCGAAAGCACTGCCAGTGGTAACAAAAACTTCTATTTTCCTGCAAATTTTTCAGTCAAGAAAGAATGAAAAGCAAAAAAAATATTAGTTGAAGTAGTTATTTTCAAATATTAGACTATTTTTTAAATTTATTTTTCCTTCCTCTGATTCCCAAACCCACTTAATTCTGGTTGGCTGAGAGGTGTTCTCTGAAGAGTCATTTGCAGAGTTGACTAAATCCATTGCTGTGAGCAGTGTGACAGTATGTCAGGGAAGAAGGGCATTTGCCATCGTGCTGACACCAGGGTGTGACTGATTTGGTTGCACAAGATTTTGCCTAAAGAAATTTTAACTGTCTAAATGGAAAATAAACTACTCCCTCTCATGAGTAGTTAAGAAATGCTGTCTTTCCCGCCACAAAAATATTTGGGGATAACTGTTTATTTTGCAAAACAAAATAACTTTTCCCTTAATGTGTAAAGTGTAATTTTTTCCTTAGATGTGCATCAGAACTTAATTACTTGTTGCATTAGACTATTGTGGTATGACAAAGAAATTAGTTATACCCTGATCAGCCAAATCACTTTAGTTTGTGTGTTTGTTTGCTTATTTTTAACTTAGTAATAAACTGTGAAATATTTTCATTAGAGGAGGCTTGTTTCAAGAAAGAATAGAATTTTAGTACCTAATATTAGCGAGTTTTCAATCAAGAAAAAATACATCAACACCAAATTTTGAACTGTGTTGGTCTTTTTGCTGTTTTTTCTTGAAGTTAATTCTTTTCTTAGAGTGATATCAACAGTAGTTTTATTACATTTAATTCCAAGCAGATGTTGAATATAATATATATAAATCTAAGACTACTTCATAGTTTTCAGAGATAAATCCTTTACTAAGCAAAAGCTCCTGAAGGTAGAACTAATGGAAGAGGTGGTTATTAAACACGTTTGTGATGCACTGATCATATAGTGTTCTTAGACTGACTCAAATTAGAGAACTTCAGTGCTGTAATGAAGTGACACCCTTCACCAATACTAACAGTTGCAGTATTTGAAGAATATGAGAAATTATTAGGAGAACCTTAATCATTTTCTCTCAGCAACAAAAGGACTCACTGAGCCTGATATATTGCGGAGAAAAGTGTCTGAGCAATGTGAAGAGCATGCTTGGTAGTTTTCAAAACGTGTCTGTGTCTCTGCTGGGCACCTGCAGTTCTGTCTTCCACAGCAACACATTGTTCTTCCATGCCCCTGCTGCTGTCAAGGCCATCTGTGACCACAGCACCAGATGGGATCCACATAAATTGCTGAATTAAAAAAAAAATTAAGTTCACAAATTTTGAAGATCTTAAAACCTTAAAGTGGCAATCTTATACTTATTGATGGCGGGGGAGCAAGACATTCCAAAACATTCATGTCTTATACATAGATGTATTAAGTAGTGTAACAAGGAATATGGCTTTGTGTCATATGGGAATATAAGGCCAGCTCTGCTCACTGCAGTTTCATTGCAAGCAGTAAAAGGTGGCAGATTTTGTATGAACCTTTGCATGCATTTTTACACGTTTTGCAAAATATTATATCATTTGGAAATGCTAGCTTAGCTTGCCATGGCTGGTGGCTATCTTGTCACATTGCATTACTCCCAAATCAAAAGAAGACTGCTCACAAAGATGTAGAGAAATGGAAGGAAGATACAGTTTGTTAAAAATACAAAACAATTCTTGTTATCTTGTTGCTTGCTATTTTAAAGAATTTCAGGCAAATACTTATGGGTAAACATGAACATATACTACTTGGGTTTTTTTTCCTTTTTTGCTTTTAATATGTAATTCCAGTGGTTTGGATAAAGTCAGGTGTAACATCATTTAAAATATAATCATTTGCCCCAGCGATAAAATCCATGTCAACTCAGATAAACATCTAATCTTGTCTGTGGTAAATAGAAAGAAGCCCAAATCCTAGGCAACCAAAAATGTTATATATTCATATTTATCTGACTGCATATTTTGTCTCTGTACTTTCTGTCTGACTTGGTGAGAAAATTAGATATTTCCATCTATTGTAGATGTAAGCTTAGCATTTTTTAAATGTAAAATATATTAAATATATTTAAATCAGAATCACAGAATTCCATCCTTAGGCAAGGTTTAGAATTTTGTAACCCTGCACTCCTTTGCTCCTATGACTTTTACATTCCTATCTGCATGTTAGCTGAACAACAGGAATGAGGTAGAATGTGCTCCAGTAGTCTGAGATAGCATTTAATCCCAAATGCAGACAGTTGATAAAAGCCATTTTGAAGAAAGAGATGGAAGACACATCAGTGGTTGCTCCCCTTGAAGAACTCCCAAGGTGTCTCACTACTTTGGATTTGGTCAGGCTTTTAAGTCTTTCATGCTGAATCCCCATATGAGCTCTGTTATCACTGCATACCTAGCTCTTGTCATGGGTCCTGTAGACCCTGCCTGGTTCCAGTCCACAGAAATGGTTCTTGCCTCCACCTTGGCGCTGCCCTGTGACCACAGTCTTACCAAGGAATCACTGATTGCCCAGTTCCATTTCCCTTGCTACATGCTGTGGGATAGGTGTCCTGGAGTGAGGACCTACAACAGCTGCCCTTAGTGACTGCCCTGGTGGGGCGCAGGCCCCTGCAGCTCCCTGATATGGATGTCCCCACATGTGTCCACATGCAATAGTAGTCTACATTTCCAGACCAAGGATATAGCAATCCAGGTTCTGAGTCTATGGAATTCAGTGACCTTTTCAGCTGAGATGCTTTTGTGGTTCTTTAGTTTATAACCAGCTTTGCTCACTTCTCCAACTATTCCATGCTGATATTAATATAAGCTTAGACACCATCTTGCCTGTAGATATTCACATGTGTCTTTATTATTGAGCTGAATTCCAGTTTTCTGTTGTAAACAACTGAATCTGGAATTGATTTAACAGCTAAAAGCTGTGGTAGAGGACAGAATGTAATGTTCCTTCTTTCTGAGGAAGATATAGAGTCAAGGAATTCCTTAATATTTTACGGAGAATCATCCTCGCGAACATTATAAGGAGGACATTGCACAAATGCTAGAGAACACCAAGGAGCACTAAGGAGGGTTTTAGAGTTCTAACTTGAAGTTTTCAAATGGTCTCAATTCAGTTGCTCCAAAGCAAATATCTAGTCTTACTTAAAGGTGGTGTTCACATGTGTCTGGTGACAGCTCAACATAAATGTCTAAGGTAATCTCTAACATCCCAAATGGCAATGGTGTTGATGGAAAGTTTTTTCTCTGCAAACATGAAATATGTTCCATGCTCAGACGATGCTTCCTCTGAAGAATCAAGAGGATAATGATCACTTTGTGGATCACTAAGTTCTCCTTTTTCCCTAAGTGCTAGCTGTTTACGTGATTCAAAACCACTGGGAGGATTGGGAAAAGACATTTTTCAGCTGGAGTGCTAAAGTCTGAGCAATGTGAATAACAGGCTTGGTAGTTTTCAAAAAGAGGAAAATAATTTCTAACATTAAATTTCAGGTATGCTAATTTACTACCTAATTTGTTTGAGGTGAACATCCTCAGTAGAAAACTGAATTAATGTAAGATGAAGTGAGAAATGTGCTGCAGAACTACTTGCAAAATATCAAATAATCCTTAGTACAACTTTCAAACTATAAAGAATTTTCAACAACAAAAAGAACTGAAAAATAATATCTTAAAGCAGGTACTACTAAACTGTGGTTCCCTATTACTTGGGTATATTCCTACTTACATAATAAAGGTTTGTTCATTGCTTCATACTGTGTAGCTGCTACCACAGCTACAAGAGATTTCAATCTTTCCTGTTCTATAGGTATTCATATTATCTCTCTGGAGTATTTTCTTGTAACTTGATTAATCTCTGTATGAAAATATTTGGATGATGACTTCTAGGGACTTTGAAATCACATCCACTTTTTAATGACTTTTTATGAGAGTAAAGGAGTAGCTTATGTAATGTGTACAAGTAAGCTCCTATTCTAAGAGGGTCTTTAATAATTTGAAATAGTCATTGTTGTTAATTACAGTTCTAAATCTTTGGTTTCTGCAGAACAACTGGTTTCCTTCAAAGAAAAACCCAGAGGTGCAGGGGAACCTGGGGGACTACAGTCAAAATGCAGTAATTTCTCTCTGTTTCTTTTTAGATGTCATGGTTTAAACCCAGACTACAGATAATACACACAAAGCCATTTGATCAGTCTTCCAGCTGGTGGGAGAGGAGAGAGAATCAGAAGCATAAAAGTGAGAAAACTCATGGGTTAAAATAAGGACAAAAAAAGCAAAAGCTGTGCATATAAGCCAAGCAAAGCAAGAAATTAATTTCCCACTTCCCATCACCAGGCAGGATTTTAGCCATCTTCAGTAAAGACTGGCTCTATCCTGTGTAACAATGACTTGGGAAGAAAACACCATTGCTCTGAACATCCATCTACACTCCTCCTTTTCCTCTTTCCCCAGCTTTACATGCTGAATATGATGTGATATGGTGTGGGATATCCCAGGGGTCAGTTGGGGTCAGCTGTTCCCACTATGTAATCTCTCAACTCTTTGCATTCTGTCTTCCTGTGGGTGAGGTGGGGTGAAAGGCTGAAAAGACCCTGATGCTGTGAAAAATAGCTCAGCAATAATAAAAATATTTCAATATTTCAAATATTTCAAAATATTTCAATATTATCAACACTGTTTTCAGGGCAACATCCCAGCCCCATACTAGGTGTTGTGAATAAAATTAACTCTACTCCAGGCAAAACCAGAATATTATCTCCTTTTCCCATTCTCTGGCATTGGTTTTTGATGGGCCACATTTCCTTCAAGAATACCCATCCATCTGCTCTGCTGTGGCATTCTCTGTGGACTGCAGTGTAGGCATCTGCTTTGTCATGGTCCCCCATGAGGTACAGGGGGACAGTCTGCTCCACTGTAGTCATCTCCATGGTCATCTCCCGTGCATGGAGATGCATGGAGCACCTTCTCCCACTATGACTTTGGTGTTGCCTCTGTGGCTTCTCACACTTTTTGTTCTTTCTGATGACATTGTTTAAATGTATTTTCCCAGAGATGCCACCAGTTTGGTTGAAGTGCTCAGCTGTACCCTGCAAGCCATTTGGAAGCATCTGTGTCCAGCACAGGGCAGTCCTGGCCTTGACTCAGAGACCAGACTATGGACTCCCACTATCAGCCGTTGGTAACTTAAATTCAATATACTTCCAAAAGTTAACATAGTCTGATAAATGCTAGTGAATTTATAGAGGTTTTAAGGCTCCCAGTTCATGTAAATTACGAATTTCTTGAGCATTGTCAAGGAAGATGCAAATCAGCTAGTTGAAAGTAAATAAAAAATACTGCCAGTATCTCTAACCACAAAAATATAAATTACCACCTTTGTGAGATGCAGTTTGCATTTTATCCTCCTCCATAGGAGTCTTCCAGCTTAGGAACAGGACACAGAAGTTAATTATTATAAGGTGTTTTGCCCATTGTCCTTGTTATTTCTCCTATGTACTGGTTACAGTGGCAAGTTGATGTTTTCTGGACTTGATATGAAGCCATATCACATATAATGAAACTAAATATGTAAAAGTCTTTGATCTCGACAAACTGCTGAAGTATTCCAGAATCCATTACAAACCAGCCCTATAACAAAACTAGTGACTTGAAACAGAGCTTAAAAGAATATTTGTTGAATATTTTTAAATTCTTAAACCAAAATATAGTGGGAAAAGCACAGCTGATTCCTGTAATCATAAATGGAAATAAGAGAGGATGGCATACATAAATTAGAAACCCAATTGTGTGAATCAGGCTTATTATCTACTTGCAAATCAATACTTTCCTAGAAAGGATACTTGGGCAAGCAACAGTTCTGATCTAAACTGGAATATGCATGAGGCTCCAGGGATTTTCATACTACAGAAGAGGTTATGATAGATGCAATTATACTATGATTGTTTTCAGAGTATATTTTTAAACCCTTTTACTTCTTGAATATCTATCTATCTATCTATCTATCTATCTATCTATCTATCTATCTATCTATCTATTTCTGACATTGCTATACTGCAGTTGAGACCACGCTGTTGTCTTATAGTCCATTTTGTATATAAGTGTAATAGTAATCCCATCTTTGTAACTTTCTTATGTCAAGCAAAATTCAGCCTTCAGGAGCCAGGAGTAAATCTGACTCAGTAGTAATCAGTGAAGATCAAAATTTGAGTCAAGATTGGGAGCAAATAGACATCTTTGTGCTTAGCTCAAGTGTAAAATTCCTGTTTCTATATTCATTGATATTCATAAATGTATTTAGGTGTCATATATAACTGCATTCACTATCATGAAACTCTCCAAACTAGGAATATTTGAATTCTTACAAACTTTATCTTTTGTTTAACTTTTTACAGTGCAGTGTAGCATATCAAGCAAGATAAATTTCCTCAGCCAAAAATAGTGAGAGGAATAATAAATAGCTATTCTGTATAAAACTAATTATCCTTTAAAAAAGTCTGACATAAAAAACATTTGTTCAGCAAAATGTCTAAACAGTTTTTCTGATATTCAGTTTGTTTAGTGGAAACAAAGGTGTTGTAGGAGTAACTGTTGACCTCGTCCTGTGCCCACCAAGCAGCTCAGTTTGCAACAGAATTCCTAAATTTGTATTTTGTTTGAAAGTTCAGCAGACTCTGAACTACTCAAGTTTTAATAAAACCCTATATTTCATCGTAGACAGTGCATACACCACATGAAACAACACCCCCCTGGTTAGCTTGGAGACATCTGGAGAGTGAACAACACTTCAAAAGTAATAAATAATTAAGTCTCAAATTCTCTTCCTGTTTCTCTGTTTTGTACTTCATGGAAGAGTCTTTAATACTATTTTGCTTTAATTTTTCTCTGACTTACACCAGAATATTATCTCTTGGGTCCATATGTGCTCCTCTTTCTAACTCCCTTCCCCAGTCCATGGCCAGTTTGAAACCTCCATCTTGAAAACCAACCGTGTTGCCAACTCCCTTTTGTTTACATGCAAATAGGTGTTGAATAAAACTGTATTCATTTTTTATGTTATTCTAAACTATCAGGGGCCTTGTCAAATGTGGGTTCAGGAGCTGGAAAAACAGGAAAGAAGCCAGCAACTGAAGGCTGGTGAGCTTGCTTTTATTGCTGCTTCGCCACTGGTTCCTGCTTCTCCTTCTGTTTCCTTGGAAACAGATACTGGGCAAGCGAAAACAAGGTAAGGATTTTAAAATATTGACTTTAAAATCTGCTGCCTATTCTGTTACTGTTGGCTCCTGCTCTACTGAACAAGAATGGAAATACTTAGCAAACCACCATTTTATGGTAACATGCCTATCACTACTGCAGCACAGGTACCAGAGAGGTCTTTGGAGCATTCTTGTTAGTTTATATCTTTCTAAACCACGACTTTATTATTAAAAAGAGAGAAAAACAGCACATAGGAAAATAGCCAAAACCAACATCAGAGTGCAAGACTTCTCAGAGTCAGCTGCTGTATGAGCAGCACAATTGCCACTGTAGAAGAATTGCCCACAGGCAGTTGGAGGCGATGGTTTCTGACACACAAAACTGAACAGCATTTCAATTATATCTTCACTAGAAACAGTGGAACAAAGCCAGAAATACCAAACTTATTTGTCTCTAACACAAGAAAGCAGGTGCTAAAATATGCTCTTTAAAAGATTATATACATTTCCTTCACCTGAGATCAGTGTGATTGGAGAATGATAAATGCCTTAGTACTTCAGTTCTGTTATTGAAATATATATGATTATCTGAAAGTTATCTGAACCTTGCTTCAACTCCAGCTCTAACTGGAGAACCTGTAATAAACAAAATTTTTAGCGTTTTTTTTGTTTAGATGTCCATCAGAAATGCTGAAACAAAGCTATTTTTGACAATAGTTTAAATCCTGGCCAGAACTGAACACACATTGGACTAAAAGGGGGTAAATTTAGGTTAAATATATTAACATACTAAATACATTTCTTCCATAAAACATGAACAAGTTAAATGTTAATGCTTGGGAAATCTGATTTTATTTTTGGAACTGTAGACTTGTATGTGCCAATTATAAGCTGACAGATATCCATCTTATCGACCTTTCATTTAAGAATATTTTTTTAGAAGGACATAAAGAGAATCACCTGCTCTTTGTAGCAACTGAGGTTGGAATCTCGAGGGCAATGCTTGACAGTGGAGGACAGCCTTTCTTGTTTAAGCTGTGCAAGTAAAGTGTAAACTCTGATAATTACTGATTTTTACACACAGCATAAGTTGCTGCTACTTAAGTGTACAGCATGTACACTTTATATTCCAGAGAGAATTGCTCAGGCTAGCAACAACAAAAAACAGGGAGAGCTTCTCCTCTGACTTCTGTGCCTCTGTTGTTTCTAAGTGACTTTTGTCAGTTGTATCATTTGGAATTTTTCACATGCAATTGTCCATACTGGTTTTTGCAGGTTTAGATTTTGATTTTGATTTTTTCTAACTTTACAATAATTTCACAGTGCTAAAAATCACGAGTTGCATAGTAAATAAACCTAATCTATGAATTTCAATGTTCCTTAGGGAGTGAGAGGACTTCAGTGCTTTAGAAGGCCTTCTGGTTGAAAGAAGCAACACAGTAGAAGACCTTTCATTAAAAGACATGACAGTGTAAGAGATATATGAGACTGTGAAAAACAAAAATGTGTTCATGAAATGCAAGTCAAGAAGTTTATCCAACTGTCCTTTGGTCCTTTCCCATCTCACTATGAAACCAACATTACTACTTAAGAAAATTCAAACCCTCATGAAGGGCTGAACATCGTTCTTTAAAGAAAGTGTGCAAACAATTACTAAAGTATGCTACCTTCCTCAACTTTGACTGTTTGCTTTATTTTTTTTTTTTCTTATATGCAGTATAGTAAAGTGAAATACTGGGATTTCTTTCATCTGTATAATTTTCCTTCTTCCTCTGCTTTTCTTAGTATCTGTCTTAAAAAAAATAAGTGAGCCTGAGTTTTCTAGTTTCAAAATGGTCCTTTGATCATGCATATTATTCCTTTAGTCGTCTGTGTCACAAGAATACAGGGGGGAAAAAATAAAAGAACCCATGTGAAAGTCAATATTGGCAGAAAATCTTAGAAATCCTTCTGACAATGGGATTTTTAGTAAAAATTTCCAAAAAATATTTTGGGCTCAAACCCCCAAGATGCTTAGAACTGTCTGAAAAAGTTTAGATATATTTTCATTTTCATCTGCTCATAAATTTTCATCTATGATATATTCTGCACTCTGAAGGACAATTTCTCTATATATTTCAGATCTTAACTTCCATATCCAGAAGAAACATGAAAATAATGTGCTGGATTGACTTTGATGTTCTGGAGGTTAACTTTACCTCGTTTATGAAGCCTTCTTGAATCCATGCACTTGTTTCTACTGTTGACCAGATCTGTTCTTCTTCTGAAAGAAGAAGATCTCTCTTTATTCTTTAGACCAAAAAGTTAAATTACATGGGCTCACCTTTCCTGGTCTTGTTTGGCTTTCAGTAGGTAAATACACTGCTTCATGGTATTTCGATTCACAGACCCATATTTCAATCACTATTAAAATAGGTCTTGGTTCAGAAAAGAGGGATTTGTGTTTGAACTCCTTTTTTTTTCCTCTAGAGAGCAGATCACTGAGCTAGGAATCATATTTGTCCAATGATAAAAAAAGCATGTTTTATAATTCATACCAAAGTCTAACAGTACCTAAGACCATAAGCGCTTCAAATGCGAAAAAACAGTGTTCAGCAGTAATGGAGAGAGCTACAACATCCAAAGGGAAGGGCAATGATATAGTTCTCTTGCAATGAATGAAGTTACAGCATGAAACCAAAGTCTTCCCTTTCTATTATTCCTGTGGATGCAAAAGCATTAATCAAGTGTTTGATAGCTTTGGGCACAGCCACTGTGTTAATGTTCTGCCTAAGACCCGAAACCTTTATTGATATCACACAAGCTGCAGATCTGGGCATGTTTATCTGATCTAAAATTAACTTCAGAAGTAAAGGATGATTGACTAGATAGCACTGAGGCATAATAGTTAAAATACACTTGTCATATTCAATGCAAATTCTTAAAACAACAAATAGATACTTGTCAAAACTTGTCATTTGTATGCTATTGCATGATGATAAAATGCATGGTGTTTTAGGTGCCTCTTGTCAACAGGATATAATTAACTGCGGCTACATTTAGGTAGTGTTTTTGCTGAAAAGATCAACAGTTCTGATTCTCTCTGCAGGGAGTGTGTTTGTTTAGAGAGGTTCTTAGCTTTTCTAAAACTCTGTCATCTGGTTCTCTCCAGGGGTTTCAAAGCAATCATCCCTCTATTCCAAGACCTAGTAACAAACCTCAAACTTAACAAACCAAAAATTAACACCTGCACAAACTCACTGAAACATATTTGGGTTTTTCTACTTGTAAAAGCATCTTCTGTTTTATGCAGTTTAATTCCAGGCTTTGTTTAGTGATTACTGCTCTCTACTTCATGCTGAAGCAAAATTAATAATTTTTTTGTAAGAATATTTTATGTTTAGGTGAAATCCAACTTGGGATAAAAGCCTGATTTTTTTTTCTTTTTTCTGTCTTATATTTGCATAGTGAATAATAAAATTCTCACATGCCTCAATACAGTATATTTCATGATCATTAAGAAATCTCTTAACTAAAAGCATACCTAAATTTGAGGCTTTGCAGGTTTGTAATGAGACACAAAATCTTAGTGAGTATAAAGCTGCTTTAGACACTGCACCTCAATATGCATTGAGATCTGTTTTTCTTGTGGAACTCAAGGTGACACATTTTATTACACTTGATAATACATTTGACACAGCCCACATTTTTTGAGACCCAAAACTCAGCCTTGAAGTGAAATTAGTGTGTGCTGTAGCTCCACTGTTTAACTCATGTAAAGCACTCTTTCCTTTGTTTTTCCCCAGGTGTCCCATCAGTAAATGAGAATTTCCATTGGGAGAAGTTTAAAGGAGTTCAGTAGTTTAAAAAGCTAACTTTGAATACACAAGGTTTAGTTTCCCATGCTTTCATGATAGTTGTGAGCAACATAGGTTTCTGTAGAGAGTAATTTAGGACATTTATTTAATGCAAAGGAGTTCCAACAGACCCTCCAAATCTTGTATCTCTGCATTATATCTGAAGCAGAATATGGCTCTGTGAAGCCACAATGATTACATCTCTAACTTCTATTAATTGTTTTGCTTTATCATTTTAAGAAAAAAAAAAAAAAAACAAAACAAAGGAAATACCTCGTGTTTTAGAAGTTGAACATTATTTTCATATTCTTAATTAATAAACAAAACATTTGTACAATCCAAGTAGATACTATGTGCTCCACTGATGTTTTTGTAAAAGGCTTGTGAACATATTTTACATTATATATTCTGCACTTTTTTTTCTTTAAGTCACTGCTTTGCGAATATTTGTATTTTTTCTATTGTTATCATGAAGTGGCCCTAGAATTCAAAGCAATTTTTTTCAATACTCAAAATATAATTACCTTGGCTACTTAGCTAAGAGATTAAGTAAATGTCACAATCCTTCCTCCTCAGAATTTTCTTATCAAAAATCTTCAAAAGAACAGACTTTCATTTAACCAGAGGAGCCAAAGACACATAGAATAGGCTTTTGGAGAACTATTTTTGATTCTTGTAAGAATATAAGAACTTCCCAACAGAAATGTTATTTATTAACTGAGAATGTAGTCAATTGTGATTTGTAAGTAACTGTCCCAGCAACTTACTCTCAAGAGAATATGCCTTTCACCCAAAGCTACAGAAAATAGCTACATGTCACCAGTTTTGTAATTTCATTGTATTGAATTTCTATATGAATGCTAAGAAGCTACCAATGAGTTTTCAGCATTTTGCTATTGTTACTTACTTTTTCTGAAAGAGTTGCATTTTTATCTTGCAACCATCTTAATGTAATGCAATAACATATTTTTTTAATCAAAGTGTTACATTCATTTTAAGAAATAGAAAAATTGTATTTAACACTGTTGAAGTTGTGAGGAAAATTATTTAAATAGTTTCTTTGCTTTTACATTGATTTGCTTTCCTAATTTGGCATCAGAGTGACAACAAAATAACAAAATTAAATTATGCAGTTTTTCGATCACCATCTCATTTGTCAGTGTTTAATAACTCAAACCTCTTATTTCCTTTAGCACATCAAGCTAACCTGCCTATTTGGTCTCAAAAACGTGAAGAAAGAAGCAAATGGGAAATGGAGGACATTGATATTTAACAAGAGAAGGTCAAACTATATGGCCTCAACAAGTCACTGTTGCTCACAATTTATTTCTGTAGGGCCATGAATTTTTGTGTTAAAAGTGTTACTTTGATCATCATACTTAAAACATCAACCTCCTGTGTGTGATCTTGGGGTGCCATTTTAATACTTTGAAAGACTGCTTTTGTGGACTGACTTGATTTTTCTATTTAAGTTTCTTAATATAAAAATATGAATACTGGAGGGTTTTGTTCTGTCAGAACAAAAGAATGACTCACCAAAGCAATACATCATTAAAGGAGAGATTTATAGGCAAACTGATGTTATTTGAAGTAATTGTGTACTTACTAAATGTACTTCTATAGCATTTATCTTATTCCATATCTATTTTTTTCATGTTCTATATATACAGACACATAGTCCACTTCATGCATCAATTTTTATATTCACAGAACCTCTGTTACTTTTTCTGTAGATCCAGGTCTAGAATATTTATTAAAAATAGATTAAGTTGCAAAGCTAATGAGGTAAGGACTAAAAAATGGGAAAGGAAGAAATTTTGGCATTTCCTTTTTTGTGGCTGAGATAATACATTTCAGTGACTGCTGCTGATTAAGAAAAAGGTTTCAGCAAACTAGAAATTTTCATTCAATATTAGTTTTCTCTCTGTAAGGATTCTGCATGGAGTATTTATTATAAAACAATATAAAACAAAACCAAAATAAACTCTAGTTATGATAGCTGGTTTCAGAATTGGTCATCTTTCCTTCAATATATTGAAAATATTATTAATATTAATATAACATCTAATATTCTTAAGCATTTTCTAGATATCCATTCAGTCTTCCAGCTTCTCTTTATGTTTTTATTAACTACACTATCACTGACACTTTAGAAGTCATCAGAAAAATTACACTTGCAATTTAATTGCACTGTAGTTGCAAGTAGTTGGGATTGGTTCTCATAGTATTTTGTGGACTATTACTTAGAAGAACAGGTTTTCTCTCAAATATATTAAACTCTCTTCAGAAATAAATGTCAACATTAAACAGTAACAATATAGAAAATTAATAGAACTTTTTAAGAGAAGAACTGAACAGGTGGAAACATGACAGAATTTTGTCATAATTTAATTTTTGTTAACATCTTCACAGATAAAATATAATAATTGTTTATTGTGTTGTTTCTTGGCTCGTTGGGAGTTCTTGCAAAGTTCTCAGCCTCCACTTTCATGCTGCAGTAAGTTTAAAGCTGTCCTGAGAGCATAGAGAAGAAGAAATCAAAATAATGTTCTGTTCTTGAGCTTGATAGATAGTAACAGGTACGGTGAGCTGAGTACTATTCTGCAGCTCAGACATGATCCCTGCTTTTTAAATTTCCCATCAGTAATGCTTTGAGACATTTTTCAAAGAGAAGAAGTCCTGACACAACCATGCTCATTTCCTGTCAAACACCTGCAGATCACAAATGAACACAAAAGACAGCATTCCACCCAGAGGAGTTTTTCACCTTGAAATGGACTTTCCCTGATGTCATGTTACTGAAAGATCACAATTTCCTGTGTTTTCTGGGAAATGAACAAAAGATCACAGAAAAAGATCAGATTTATGCCCATTAACAAAGCCAATTGAGACAGTTTAGTCTATATGGGAATATTTTTTTATTTATTTCTTCTTATAATTTCATTTTCTTATTTCTTATTGTATTTTATTTATTCAGAAATTGGATCTTTCCACTAACTAGAAGAGGGGGCACCAGTTGTGCACCACTTAACATGGCTACTTCTTGTTCTAGGCATGCCAGGGAGAAACTGGTTCTGTATGTGTAGCCCTGAGTTGCAGATTAGCACCTTCATGGATTTTATGGTAGGGTTACTAATGCAATTGCTCTTGAATTCATTTCAGTTGGAATCAGTCAGGGTAGCTACTGTCTAAATTATTAAGCTAGCCCATTTCTTTTTGACTGAAATAGATTAGAGGACAATTGCATATATACACCTCATAAAATATTCGAGGACAGGAGTAGTAATTTTTCATTTAGAAAAGCCAGAAACAGAGGAAAACTTGGGTATACTCCGATAAAAACTAAAAAATTAGTGTGTTCTTCTTCTCCATAGTGGTCTATTCTTTTGTGGGATGGAGGCTAAAAGAAAAAGGACAGTAGACGAAGAACTCTATGCTTATGAGAAAAAAACTTCCATGGATATATAAAGTTGAATGAACATTTAATGCACATTTGACTTTCCAATAATGCATGTGTCACAGTTTGGCAAATGTTAATGTGTTTCTGCTTACTTAAATTAACAATTATCAGGTTTGACATGATCTACCCCTGTGTCACATGAAAACTGAATGTTCAACTACAAGAGAAGAAGAAATAAAAAAGAGAAGATAAGTAAAAAAGGCAGGCCCCAGGTATTAGGAAGCCTGCTTTAATTAAAATGAAACCAAAACAACAAAAAAAGATCCCATCCCAAGCCACTAACAAGCCAAAAAATACTAAACACACTAAACAGTGTTGAAAGGCAATTTTATAATAATGGTTAAAGCGTATAACGACATATACATCCTTCAGAATGGGATCTTTCTGCAGAAGAGAGCAGACCTACTCATAAAATTGCTCCTGAATTAATTTCAAATGAAACCACCCAGACTAGCTAAATTATTTAAGGTATATAATTTTGTTTTAGTCCAATAGCTCATTCATATTACAGCATTCTTTAAAAATAAAAAAAAAACATGCTGTGTGTCATTCATCAGGAGTAGTAATGCTTGCTTCCAACACAAATCTTTCTTCCATGGTGTTCCTCATATCACAGATGTGGATGATAATAATATGGGTCTGTTTTGTGTATCTATGCATTGTAGAAAGGAAATGCTTCAATTTCTAAGCTTTAGTACATTAAAAAAATAAATTAAATGGAAAAATCCATTAGATACACAGGATAATCTCCTGCTGACTATTGTTATACTCTTCCTAGAAACAGCTTATATTTTTGTGGGTGATCTGTGGTTTTCTGTGTGCCTAATTTTTGTTTATTTTTTAATTAGTCAAATAGTTACATTTAAATATGCATGACTTTATGGTTAAATCTCAGTTATAATCCCATGACTTTATGGTTAAATCTCAGTTATAATCCTATATACTCATGTTAATGTTTTTATTCTCTTGACTTTATGGGGCAATTTTGCAACTGACTAAAACAGTAATTAACTGAAAAGTCTCTCTTCTTTCCTTACCATTGCTGTAAGATCCCTAATTAATTAGGTCATGTATTTCCTTTTTTTCCCTCCCCTTGAAATAAAATATAGCCTGTAATAAAATTATCACATGTATACCTATTTCTTTCTGCAGTGCAATTAGGTGACAAAAGATATTTAAGGTACTAAATATAGTAGACAAAAATTAAAGTTAAAACAAAAATTCAGTAACAAATGGAAACATCAGCATTTTCTGCATACCCATGTTCTGAAAATTTTTTAATTCTTATGTTCTTCAGGTATTTTTTCTTGTGTACATTGAATAGGTTTTTTTATCTTCCTGACAATTATAGATGGGATCACCATCCTGAGCAATACTGTGTTTTGCACATGTCACTGTGCATGAAATATTTATTTATATGGCCTTAGTGTGTGTTTTGGTGATGTTCCAGGTCGATTTTTTAGCTTACACAATGATATTTCTCTTTTCCTATACTTTGAATTGCACTTTATAACAAAAGGAGACTTAAATCATTTATTCATCCTCTTCAACAATTTCTCAGAAGTACAGCATTTTATTTTACTACATATTGACTTCCTATGTGTGTGTGTGTGTGAAGATTTCTATTGTTATTTCTTCCACAGAAAATGTTTTAATATATATCTCTTAATTGTTAGTATTGTTAATTACAATTTTTGTGCAAAAACCTAAAATGTTTATTCTGGAGAACCCCTAGTAACAAGTGAAAATAGGATGAAATCAGAGACAAAAATATTGTCAAAAAGACCAAGAATTATCAGTTACAGTATGGAAACATTAGAACTCCCATAGATTTGTACATTTCTGCATTCTCCTTACTTAAGTTTTGGTCATTGGTACAATTTCATCTGCAGGGAATCTCGAAATGATTGTCACTGTTACCTCTGTTGAAGTAATGTTGAAGTCCAAGTCTTTTATAGTTGTATAGGAAGGAAAATTCTCAAAATTCTCGTACCTTATATTACATGGAGAAAAAAAAAAGAAGGAAGAGTTTAAAGAAGCCTTCTTTCTTGTCTTTTATACGTACTCTTAGTAGTTTGCACTCCACTTCTTTTCACTTCCTTTTGGTTTTTGAGACCCTATCCTAGACATTTAAGATTAAATGCGCCTTGCTGTCTCATGTAGGGTGGCTGACCATGGGCATACATCAACACAGCCCCTCAGCCAACCTACTTCTCTCTCCCCTGGGGTTGGGAGATAGTAGAAAGCAGCTGAGAAGTGTTATGGATTGAGATAAAGTAGTTAAATAAGTGAGGCTAAAACTGAGCACAGAAGCAAAGCAAAATGCAATTAATTCACTACTTCTCATCAGCAGATAGATTAGCCAGCTCTAGGCTGCAGGACCTCAGCACATGAAATGGTTATTTGTGAAGACAAATACC